CCTCCAGTCTGGCTTTCGTAAACCTCCTTTCCCTCTTTTCTTCCTCAAAGTATATCCGTAACGGCCGTGTCACGAAACCAGTGGATGAAATCTTTGGCATACATGCCCAGAGTGAGCATTTCAAACGCTCCAAGCTAAAGGACTTGATACCGCTGCCTGAGGATCTGCAATCAGAGATTATTCCAGGCGAGTGGTTTTCGCATGATGGCTCTTGCTTGGGTCTTGAATAAACTGTTTTAATTAGTACGCATAGGGTGCTTTCATAATGAGAGCCAATATTTTTTATCCTTTGACTTTTGTTTGCACCGTTTATTACACTTTTCGTGAACTATCACGCAGAGCAACGGGCAAGCTTGTAGTCTTTTATGTCTATTGTCGCAAGTCTGAGAGCGGTAGATGAGGTTCTTTTTTTCTATTTTCATCTACCTCCTAGAGTTCGTGCGCTTCCAACTTGTCAAGTTGCCTTTCCTGAAAATGCTCCCAAATTTAGTACAAATATGACTGCTTTTATGGTTCTAGCCTATTTTATTAATTCTCTTTTTCAGAAGAGCCGCTGACGAGCATACATAAACTTTCAATGGATTCTCATCGGGCCATTACATTTATAGAGGAAGGGATGCAAAGGTTACCATGCGGTCAATTATGTGTGTTGATCATTTCATGAAAATTAGTCCTGGGAATAGAGGATAAAGAGTTGGCCCAATGAGAATTTACCGAAAGCTTACGTATGCTCGTCAATTCTCTGATGGGAATTTCTTTTTATTGACTTACTCCTTGTACCGAATGCATATGTTCGTTAACTTTCATGGCTAGCTTTTTAATTATCTTGTTTCAGGATGTAGCAAGTAACTTCCGTGTTAAACTTTAATAATCTAGCTGAGCTTTGGGATACGTTTCACGCTGACCACGCGGATTTTTTCTATCACACGTTTTTTTCTCGTACTTCACTTAATCGGTGAACCTCAAAAGTAAATTTCCCGCCCATTCACTTTCACTCGTTAGTGTCAACATCGCCAGTAAAAATTACATACATCAAGTGTGGTGCTACTTAACATACTTTTTCCCACTTCGGCTGCTGTAGGCTGTAGTTGTTACTGCATCCCTCACTTGTTTGTTTTAAGTGCCCAAGGATAGTTTCGTAAATCACCATGGATCTGGTTTCCTATTGAGTTCTTCGTCCCTCTTAGGTAGTCGTGTTTTTTCTATGAATTTTCCACAATAGTTAAACGTTAGCCCCGTCTCATTGCCTTCTCTACCTATTGATTTTTTCCTAGATGGTGTCTTTAAGCCTACCAACTCCAGTCTTGCAGACCTCATCGAAGAGACGCTTGCACCACAGATTGACCTCATAGCCTCGGCCTCGTGGGTGAGTTGCCCACGTCGATAAAGCCACTTGCTCTCGATTGGTGACATTCGCTTCGCCTTTCTTCTCCTAAAACCGCATTTTGTGCGCTTCGTGGTGTCTTTTTAGCTGATTTACTGTGAAGTGCTTGCACCATTTACGGTAGAATTTTGGGTTTTCCATTGTTACTGTTCCCTTAAACTGCCCATAATTAGCTACTTTTTAAAGAATACGAACGCAACATTGGTCGTCCCTAATAACTTGCTTCTGTCTTTGTCTATTTAGCACGAGGGCCCACCGTGCAGTCTTCTTTCTGCAGACCCAGAAACCGTGTGCATTGCGTCCGACTTGTAAGTCTTCCTGCGATTTAACATTCTTTGCTTTTTCCACTAATCTTGTCCCCAGAGGAGACCACAATCGTGTGGTAAATAATCTGTGCGTAGTTCTAGCAAAATGCTGCGAGCTCCCTGATTGGCAAAATCCACCAGATTGTAGATTAGAAGGGCTTATTATAGTCTTTGGGGGGATCTCTGGCCGGGCTGTGAAGTCGCCTCATCTGCGCGATAAACTTTAATCGATTTGACGATATCTCTGTCCACTAAGCGTGCCCCCGTCGGGGGGAGTGCAGAGTCTCACTTCCGCCATAGCGCCTGCTTTCGCCTACCACTTCGTGCACGCCTGGTGAGGAGAGATGTAACGAGGGCAATCTCGCGTGAATATAGTGCATTTGATTCCTTTGTAGTTATCGCAAAGCTTTAAAACCCTTTTACTTGGAGGACTATCGAGTGGCTAAATCCCCTTGGTCCTCGGAGTTGAAAGTCAGGTTGTAATGCCTGCTTAATGTACTGGTATGGCGACCGGCACTTACCTAGCATAAAAGAGGCGTGAACGAATGTCTGGTCCTGCCACGTGCCCAGACCCATCTCTAATTATCATGATTTTGTCTTACCAGCGGAACACGATGCCTGAGTAAGAGAAGGGATATATTGTATGGGCAAACGCTACCTCCTTAAGTCATTGCTTCCTCTGTCAGGTTAGCTGACCGGACTGTCGTATGTTTCAATCGACAGCGGAAAACCAATCGCCCTCCGCAAACCGCCTCCTTGTTGGCAACCTGTGGATCGACCGTTTTGGAGCCTGATTGCAATGCTTAACTTGCACTTCCAACCAATCTCTGCATGATTGCACAGAAGTAATGTACAGCTTATGGCCATTGTTGGCGTAGTAGTGACCCATTCTTCAGGTCTATACGATAATTTTCTTTCCGCAGGCCTCCTTACTCCTCCAATCCTCCCTCGGCACCGTTGTTGCTGCGGGTCTGTTCCTCGGAATGTCAGCCAGCCGCCGACCAGCTTGATTCCACTTCACCATCGTCGCCGAATGATCCTAGTGGTACTCCAGCGTGCTCCAACAAAGTCGCCGTTGTTCAGCTCTCGAAACCACCGAGAGCTCAGTCAGACTGCATCCTCCTCTACACATTTGATAGAACAGAGGACTTTGCCACCTGGTCTGTCTCCTTTCCTTGTTTTTCTCATGCCATGTGCCATTTCAGCGGAGATCCCCAAAAAACGGCTGCGCTGTTGCATCATACCTAATCGGGTTCTCACCAGCGCATGATACACGCTAGATAGGGATTATATTATGTTAGCCACTGTCCTAAATCCGTTTGACTCGAACCGATAAGAACGGGATATAGGACCGGCGCGATTTTAATGCACAAGACTCGCTACTACGTTTATTTAAGCAAGCGTTGTCCGGTTATGTTCATCCTCGGGTTAGAGTTACAGTTAGGGATGCAGTTTAAGTTGAGAGTAAATTTACACTTAAGGTTAAGGTTGAGCTTAAAGTTAGAGTTATCTTCTACTGGCCCCGCCTACATACCATATCCTCGCCATCTAATCTGTCGGTTATACATGACTTGTAAGGGAAGAAGGGATGAGAACAATCTTGCGTGTATCCCACATGCCTTTCCAGCGCCTACATTCATTGAAATGTGTCCGGAGTATACAGGGTGCCCCAAAAAAATGTATACACATTTTAAATAACTGTAAGCTTGGTGTTTATTATAATTATATTATTTCAAAGATTTGAAAATATGTAAAAGTATCATTTTATTGTTTTTTTTTCACTGCATTTTGCCTATTGCAACAGTAGCTGAATGGAGAAAAGTCATTGAACATGAATGCACACGAATACACAGGGAATTGTGTCATGGTGTGTGCGATTCTATTGCTTCGCGTTTTCAGCAGTGTAAGGAGCAAAAGGAACGTCAGTTTGAGGACATTCAATAAAGAAAGCAACAAAATGATGCTTATAAATATTTGTACATTTTTTTAATGATAAAAGTATGATAAACACCAATTTTACAATTATGTAAAATGTGTATACATTTTTGGGACACCCTGCATATTAGAATTCCAGTTGGAAAAAATTGATCGAGTATTATTTTACTGCCAATTAGCATGGAATGTAATTCGATGACCGTGTAACTTTAACTGTTAATTCCGAATCTTCCTGCCAACCCACAAACATTACAAGAAGAAAATCGGTACATATTATGTTGAAGTGAACATCCGTTGTTTGTCTTCATTATACCTGGAAGAAATTGCAAGTAGCAATTTAATTTAGGGTATTTTAGTACAAATTGGTATTTGAATGTGGGGTATTTTCCGTTTTTAAAATTCTTAATGGAAAATTTAGAGTAAAGATTTCCGTGAGTATTCGTAAAGTCAGTTCTATTAATGTTGCTTGCAATTTATATCAGGTCATTCAACTTTTCGTCATTTCGAGTGTCTTTCTTGAGATGTGCGAAAGTCATTGAATTTTTTTCACCGAAAATGCATACCGTGTAGTCTGTGAAATCTTAAGAACTTGGAACCCCTTGGTTGGTTTTCGAAATTTGCGTGAAATATTATACATTTAGAGCACTAAATATCGCGTTCTTTTATGCACAAAATGTTACCAAGACGTAATATACTACAAACTGGATACAAGTGGCCAACTCTGTATGGATCTTTTCTGGAACTATGGTTAAATTTGCGGTGTATACAGAACAAATGAAACCACCACATATTAACTAAGTAGGAGGTTGTCCTGTATTCGAGTTGATAGAGCTGACAGGAGACATCCGGAACCCTGTGGATTGGCAGCTGACAATCGACTTTCCTCACTGAAATTAATTTTTACACAATCAAGAACTTTTAATTTTTGTTTTAATTGTCGTTCCCGCCCCCTAATGGTATTCCCTTTTCTGTGTTCTACTCTAGCCCACAGTCTGTTATACGACTGAATTTTGACCGCTTTGCGAACGACGACAATCCCCAGAACATGTAAGTTCTGCCTGCCAAAACTGCATTTTTTCGCCTTATTGTGCACCCGTCACTTTGACATGTCGTTGTTTCTGCCCTCCAGCGCCTACCGCATTCAGGACTTGCAGTTCTTCGGTCCTGATATCCTGGTCGTTTTGCTGTATCGTGACTCCCTCCCGTCCGCCGACGACCCCATCGCCTCACCCCCACCTTCCAGCCAGGCAATTTCCAGGGGACTACAGTGGTTCATTTTTCTGCCGCTGGACGAGGCGGTAAAATGTGCTACAGGGTCAGTGTTGCCCGAAAAGTCCATTTGTGTTGCAGAACTCTCGAACTACTGGCAAACGCTCCTTTATCGCTTGTTTTGCTTGCCTCCTACCTTATCTTTACTCGTTTTAACGTCTACTGTGCACATAGAACCAGGCGCTTTACCATCACGTCAGATGAGCATGCAACACTGATGAGAGCTGGCGTCTGAAATGTGGGTAATTTTAGCCACAGTAAACACTCCTGTCTGTTACTTTTCAAAATAGAGCGGGATCATCCATTAAGTTGTAAACCGGCTTACCGCCCCCTTTGCGAATTTATAAATGCCTCTTTGAATTTCCTCTGTTTTGTGTGCAATCTTTCTTCTTGATGACCGTACTCCTCCTCCTCCGCCTCCCCCCTCCAGGTCGTGTGTGAATGTCTCGCAGATTGTCACCAGCAGACGCCAAGTTCATCCCCTGCCAAGAAAACCCAGTTGGTTTGCCGCGAACGGCGACCGAAAAACTCTCTTTGTGGTAAGTTGTAACACAGTACCCACTTGTGGGACCGCTGTTGGAATTATGGAGATTTCTGTTGCAGCTTACCTCTACCTGTCTGTACTTCAATGCCTAACAAGTTATTTTTGTTGCCTCGTCCAAGGGGCCCTTTCTTTGTTTTAGTCATGCTGGCAGGAATCTTTCGAGGGGGGCTAGTAATCGTCAACCAGGCGTATACTTTAGGGTATGAAGCCGTCTGGAGGCGTAGTAGATGAACTGGA